GTTTTCGTTTCCTGACACATGTGATGTGTCAAAATATTGTTAAAAAAAATCTTTTGATAACGTATAAAACCTTATGTCATTTTAAACATAAGAAAAATTGTGATTTACCTTTCTTGATATGTGTAAATATTATTTATTCTACTTATTCACCAAAATAATAGTTGTCACGATATGAATAGTCTTATTTTGTATGGATTTATATCATGTTATTTTCTCTTAGTAAATTATAATAATTGTTTAAAACTCATGCATAGAATTTTGTACTTTTTAAGTATTCTAAAAAAAAAAACATAATTTCCAATACAAATATATTGACATTATTCATAAATTTAAAAATAGTAAGATAGTACGATGTGATATAGGCATAAATGTAAATAATTCTTAAAAACACATATATGATTATTATTGTACAAGTCCAAATTAAAATTATATGTACTAAAGGTGTTAACATAAAAAATTATAAATATTGTCATCATAAAAGTACTACTGTTTTATAGATTAGATATTTATTGATAAATATGAGTAAAGTATCATAAAGTATTAGACATGAATACATCACTCAAATTGAAGTATCGATACATCATAAGACTAAAATAATTTGAAAGAGAATACAATAAAGATTTTAGTTATGCATCATAGACTAATTAGTAGTTTGTAAAAGAAGACCTAGAATTTCGACGTGTTCTGTCTGAGTTTTTTTCGGAAATAATATTTTGATTCTTTGAATTTGGGTTATTGTTGACTTTAAAATATACTATTTAAGATGTCATCCGACAAAGATTTGTCATAGGAAATTTCTAGCGCTGGGAGAAAATGGAAGATAAGGATATCAAGATTGTAATCAACGAGTATCACAAACTACTTGAAGATATCAAAGCAGAAAACATAATGCTACCTTATGAGTTTGTTTCAGAACTTCTGATTAAAAAACTATTATCATCCTTGATTGACTAAAAACAATAGTTGATGTAAGATCCAAGAAAATTTAATGTTTAAAAACAAGTTTGTAATGTAGCTTATGTTTATTTATAAGAAAGGTTGCATGTTTCTCACAAGTTTTGTGTACTTTAGTTAGAAAAAGCTTTTTGTTGGGCTAGTGATATGGTATTCAAATCCTAATTGATGCATAAAGTGTTTTATTTGTTTAATTATGCTTTTATTTTATGGACTATTTCAGATGTCATAAATAAACCTCTAAACCTTTTCACTACCCAAGTTAAATTATTTTAGTGTTCACTTAATAACAATGCAAAGGCGGCTGAGAAGGTCAATCCTATGACTCCAACTATCTCAAGCAAGGTGAGACGATATTTGTTTGTTTTGTACATGGTATCCATCAAGAAAATAATATTAAATGTATTCAATAAGTACACTGCATCAGGATGTGTCTAGAAGATATCATTTACCACGTTAGAATCATCCACACATCTACTCCATTGGATGTATTTATCTCGATCTAGAATCATCATCAATTGCTACATTTCAGTCATTAAGACTCTCAAAGATTGTTTGTATATGTACCTTGTGTTATATATTTGTTTTATTATTTTCACATTAGAATCATTATGTTTTGAGATCAATAAAATATTTGAGGACTTTACTTGACTCTTAATTATGTCAACAAGTAATGACTGCTAAGCAGCATTTAACATGCCAACAAAAGGATGACCATCTAAAGTTTGAGTTAATTCATGGTTGTGATATTCATAGATAACCTTTAACACTCAACTCTCTCCATTAGAATACGATTTGCCTCTCAACTTAAAAGTATGTTCACATTTTCTTGTCCCAGATACACTCGATTGAACATCATGTTTATATTTTATGTACTTCTCACTTCTTTCACAACCTAACAAAACGAATGTCTTTCTTTTGGATTCACCAGTTGTTATGTCAGATCTTATAGTAACTACAACAAATTCAATATCGAATGCAATCCTTCAAACCCATTTAATTAAATCATTCCATGATAGAAATATTTCATCGATGGTAAAATTATGGTTTAATCATTTCAGATGTCCCTATTTGTGCATAATCGTCTCAAATAGGTCCTTGTATTTTAGTTGATCTCAATTAAGTTCCTTTTTATGAAAAATTGACTCAATTTGAATCTTGCTATTAAGTGAACTTGATGACATTAAAAGTTGTGTTATGGCTTGCTGATTGAGTACTTTTTAATTATGTGGCAGAGTTTGATCGCCTTAGGTGGAATTTTTTTTATTTACAATTTTAAATAATTTAAATTTAATAAGGCATAACGTTTTATTTAGGGAAAAGTTTTAATAAGTCAAATTTATTATTGCTGATACTAATTAATTTCAAATTCAAATTTTTATCTTAGGTATTAGTTAATTTCCTAAATGGTTTCAGATAACCCTAATTCAAATCTTTTTCCCAAATTGATTTGGGAGAGTTTTTCTTCTCCACGGACAGACCTTGTGTTGGGTCTTGTGTCACGCTTTCTCTTCTTCCTCGTTCCAGAGAGGTCGTGGGAGGGATTTCTCTTTTCTTTATTTTCGTTCACGGAACCTCTTCTTCCCCAAATCGCTTTGGTCTTGCTTCGTTTCGCAAGATGGAGGTGATTTTGGTCCCTTCTCTTTCTTGGGGTTCTGGCGCGGTTGTCGCAGAGAGGAGGGGCTCGAGTTTGGCGACTCAGGCGTGGCGTTCCCTTCGTGGCGGTGTGTGCCGCAGCGGTGACTCTCTCCGGTCTCGTGGAGGTTCTCGTAGCAGTCCTCCAAGCAACCCGCGAAGGTGGACGCGGGTTGGGTGCAAACAGTATCATGATGGCATTGCAGGCGCGGCGGAGGTTCCTTCTCTCCGTTCTGATTCACGGCGCAAGCTTCCCTTCTCCTCCTCCTCTTCTGGTTGCGATTGGGTTCTTAGGGGTTGCTGTTTCGACTAATTCTTGTGATTTGGGAGATGGGGTTTTGTTTCGCTTTGATTTGGAAATTCTTGGTTGGTTCTGACTTCGATTGGGTTGAGGTTCTTCTACCTTGCAGATTGATGGCGAGAATTTGAGTTTTGATTCCTGTTCTTGCGTTCTTGTTTGTGGAGCTGCATATGATCGATCATGGGTGTTTCTTTCTTGATTTTCCCCAAATTTGCCTAATTTCGCACGCACCCAACAAATCCCTAAATTTTAATAACTTTTCCCTAAATAAAATGTTGTGCTTTGATTAAATTTTAAAATTGTAAATAAAAAATTCCATTTAAGACGACCAATCTGCCATGTAACTAAAAATTGTTCGGTCAAACTGATTTCGGAACCTAATTGAGATCAAAATCAATTAAAATATAAGTATTTGAGGCGATTTATACAAAGAGAGACATCTGAAATGATTAAACATAAATTTATATGTATAATCATCCTGAGCAACTTCATTTGTGAAAGAAAAAAATTCAAACACAAAACTCGGATTTATTTGAGAATCCATTAAGTGAAATGGATACGATTCATCTTATAATATTAATCATAACTTATACAATAAATATAGTTATCACTCAATATTCCTCACGAAATACTAATAATAATATTAATAGTAACAATACATATTAAAAATTAAATAATAAATAAAAACGAGAATGAAATAAATAAATTTTAAAAAAAATTATTGATAAAATGGATTTTGCAATCAATTAATCGCATAACTAGATATGGGAATTAGTCCCATGCTGAATGAAAGGAATTCACTTACCTCAGACGCCACAACTTGGACCTTGCAACAAGTTGCTTTCACTTCCACAATGTAGACCACCATGAACCACCAACCCACAGCTAGGGACCAGCACGAGCAGAATCACAAAAATGCACCAATGAGAAAACAAAGAAGCAGTGAGTGAGTGAAGTGAATGAAAAACAGAAAAGATGCAATAATATATATACTTCGTTTATTTTAGTTAGTGAATATTTATCAATTCCGATTTACATTAAATGTTAATCCACCGGTGAAATTTTTTAATTTATTTTTTAATTAAAAAAGCAAATTTGTAATTTTGGAGATAAAAAAAGTGGAGAGATGGATGGAGAAGCAGTCAATAATTATATACACACGTATATAATCTGCACTGCAACATCAAAATTCCAGAAGGAATCGAGTATCTGAGAGATATCGTACGTTACAAGGAAACATAAAAGGTGACGAGTTTGCTTACGCAAAGAAATGTGTGGTTTTTGGTGGAGCCATTCTTCTCAAACTTTAAAGACTGACATATATCACATTAAGAAGAAACGTAAAACCTGACGATTTTGCTTACGCCTAATGTCTATGGTCAAACCCGAAAACGCTAAAACAGAAAGATAAGAAAAGTCTAATAAAATGACATCTCATTCTTCAAATTCAAATGTGAAAAGTAGTTTAGAATAGGTAAGCTTAAATAACTTTCAATATTCTAATATATTATCGATTATTATTTTGAGCGTATAATAATTTCTTTTAAATTAGTTACTTCATAAATTAATTCTTTTGTTTAAGTTTATGATATTATTTTTCTTAATTATACTATACTAATATTTATTAAATTAAAATACGTTTCACACTGTGCAGAAGGTAATTAAAGAAACAACATATTTTATTCCTTTTATTAATTCTACAAATATTAATTCTACAAACAATATAGGTCAAAATTATATAGCAAAATAATAAGTTGAAAAAACAAAAAAAGAAACCCATGCTAAAATATTCTAAATATCGATTAAAGAATAAACATAATAATGTACACAGATATTTTTTCAAGGATTCAAGATAATTTAGTAGAAAACATGATTGGATACTGAAACCAGAAGTTTTCAAGCGAAGCAGTTGGTGCAATGAAAATATCCGAAAGACCATTATATTTTAACAATTTGTTGTAATAATTTTTTCATCACTACGTTAAAGAGACATTTTTCTGTCCGAAAGCAGGCAAAATGCAGACATCACCCATGAGGACATGTTCATTACATTTTCTCCACACCTTCCTCTTTCGTTGTCCAACACATCATTCACTATATATACACAGGTCTTACTTCAACACCAACCTATCCAACAAATTACAACTCAAGATCTATCTCATTCACACTCTAAAAAGTTCATACCAAATTCAAATTTCGCAGTAGCAATCATACGAAAATGATTGAGATTCTTCAGAATATGCAGCTGATAGCTCCTCTCTTCCTCGTCCTCTCCCTCATCCTTCCCCTCGTCTTCTTCTTCTACTCCTCACTTTTCAACAACAAAGACCCTGCTCCAACCAAACAAACCGTTACTATCCCAAAATCATACCCACTCATTGGCTCCTACCTTGCCCTCAAACGCATCGGCAACCGCCGTATTCAGTGGCTATCCGATGTAGTCCAAATCTCACCCGCCAACACATTCACCTTCCGTCGCCCACTGGGCCGCCTCCAAGTTTTCACTGGAAACCCCGCCACCGTGGAGTACATTCTCAAGACCCGCTTCTCCAACTACCAAAAGGGCTATTCCTTCATCAGCGCCCTCTCCGATTTCCTCGGCACCGGAATCTTCAACGCCGACGGAAACACGTGGAAGTTCCAAAGGCAAGTCGCCAGCCACGAATTCAACACAAAGTCTCTCCGCAAGTTCGTTGAACACGTTGTGGATGCCGAACTCTCCGACCGCCTCATCCCCATCATGGCTTCAGCGGCACAGCAAGACCAGACCCTCGATTTCCAAGACATCCTCCAACGCTTCGCCTTCGATAACATCTGCAAAATCGCCTTTGGCTTCGACGCGGAGTACCTGACGTCGTCAGCTGAACGGAGCAAGTTCGCGGTGGCGTACGAAGAAGCGACGGAGATAAGCAGCAAACGGTTCCGCGAACTGTCTCCGTTAGTGTGGAAAGTGAAGAGGGCACTGAACATAGGTTCCGAAAAGCGGTTGCGAATGGCTGTGAAGGAAGTGCACGAGTTCGCGAAGAATATAGTGAGAGAGAAGAAGAGGGAGTTGAAGGAGAAGGAATCCCTTGAATCTGTAGACATGCTTTCGCGGTTCTTGAGTTCGGGGCACTCTGATGAAGACTTTGTGACGGACATAGTCATAAGCTTCATATTGGCGGGGAAGGATACCACGTCAGCAGCGCTGACCTGGTTTTTCTGGCTGCTATCGAAGTACCCTCGAGTGGAGAAGGAGATTGTGAAGGAGATAATGGAGAAATCGGAGGCTCCGGTCTACGATGAAGTGAAGCACATGGTTTACACGCATGCAGCGTTATGCGAGAGCATGAGGCTGTACCCGCCAGTGCCCATGGACACCAAGGAAGCAGTGGAGGACGACGTCTTGCCGGATGGGACGGTGGTGAAGAAGGGGACGCTGGTGACTTATCACGTGTACGCCATGGGGAGGTTGGAGAGTATTTGGGGTGAGGATTGGGCAGAGTTTAAGCCAGAGAGGTGGTTGCAGAAGGTTGAATCCGGAAACTGGAAGTTTGTGCCAAAAGATTCTTTCACATATCCTGTGTTTCAAGCTGGTCCCAGAATGTGTTTGGGGAAGGATATGGCTTTTATGCAGATGCAGAGTGTGGTGGCTGGGATTCTTCGGCGGTTCGCGGTTGTTCCCACGGTGGCTGAAGGGGTGGAGCCAAACTTCATTTCCTTCCTGTCCTCCCAGATGGAAGGTGGTTTTCCTGTGAAGATCATTGAGAGGGAAACCTCAAATTAATACCGAACTTTTTCCATTTAGACCACGTTACTCGTTTTATTAGTTCTATGTTTGGGATTTGAGTTTGAGCTTTGAGTTTTACTTATTTGTTTTTCTTCATAATATGAATATGAATAATGGTTTGGAGAAAGACGAGTGAAGAAGGAAAGAGCAGTGGAAAATTTGATTTTGATGGATTTAGGGTAGGTGGAAAAGAGCTCGATAAAAATAGAGTATTTTATAGTTGAATTGGAGTGAGAAATGCAGAGGATGTGGATGTTGATTCATGAGAAGAAATTGCCATTCTTATTTGACTCAGGACCGCTCTTCATCTGCTTCTTAGAAAAAGATGAAGAACTAGTTTTCATAACCTCGTCAATCCTAGGAAGACAATGAAAGATGGATAAATCTATAAAACATTTTAAAAATCCTTCTTCCGTTGCTTCTTCCTAAACACTTCAAACATCATGCTAGTTTTCAATTACATTACTTCTAAGATAAAATATAGCCAAATTATCCCAATTTTCTTTTCACAACTTGTGGCCAGGAATCGCTCATATCTCCACGTGTAGCTTTTAAGCTTGAAAGCGTGATGGATAACTGCTTATGACGCATCTGGTTTCGTTTAATCTTTGTTGACTGCTAATAAGTAATTATTACTGATATATGACAAAACCACAAAGAGAAGTAGTACTTTAGATAACAATTATGTCTATATTATAAATAAATCATAAATAATATGCCACTTAATTAAAGTTGTTATTTAGTTGTATGTGTAGACAGGACTTTGAATACATCTTGCAAATCATGGAAACTACTGCTCCAGCTTAATTAAGTTAGAATACATGAAAGCATAAAAACATTATCACCTCAAGCCCCTTTGATGATTTTAAGGCGAGTGTTAAATGGTTAATTGACATTTATTGTGAGTAGTTACCATAATTTTTCTTTTAAAATAAGTGTTTCATCTTTCTCTTTATATTTGTATGAAACTTCCAATTAAAATGTAACAATAATGTTAAAATAGTATGAACAAGTTCTTTAATCCATTTTACTTCAAAATATTATAGTCTCATTTAGGTTGAAACTTTTATTTTTTTTAATTATATTTCACATCTGATGTTTTCATTCACTGGTCATGTGCCCTACACGTTGCGTTTTAACGATTTTAATTTAATCTTGAGTTTTGTAAACTTGAACTGTTATAACTTTTTATATAAACTTTGAATGAAGACGCTCAAAAAATTAAAGTGGTTGGAAACGCGACCATCATGGAAGGAATTTCTTTTATGGACTGTTTTGGAATTTTCAAAATTTCAAAGTTTAAGATATGTTTTTATTTTATTAGTATTTTTCACCTATTTTTTTATACTTTTACACTTTTATTTTAGATACTGATACTATTTCTATAATTTTAAAAAAAATTGTGATATATTTTTCTAATACATATTGATTTTTCATGGTTTTTGTGAAGAAAAATATTGATAAAAAAAACCTACAATTTGACTTCTGATATTCATGTAGAATACATTAATTAATGTTTGTTATTAATGTAACGTATATTAATTGAGATTTGTTGAAAGACAACGTGAAGTTAATGTTTATTTAAATATGTTTTGAAATTCATAAAAAGTGAAAATTTGCCCTATATAAATGATAAAATGACTATCACAAAAAAAATAGAAAACAGAATAGATCACCCATAAGGATAATATTTTTTAAGGGATGCATAGGAGGGTTTTACCCTTGCTCAAGTAAATGCATGGAATTGGATCACCCATAAGCACAAGAAAAGGAATTTTTTTCTTTTTTCATTTTGGTGTCTAAAACCAATTAAATGTTCAAGTTACCTTCAATAACCAACTAACTTAGTTTTACATTAGAGATCATATTCTTAATACCTGCTTAGGGGAAAAGGTAATATACACCACAAAAGGTCAAAGGTAGCATAGAAAACAATTATTACAAGAGAATTCATTATTACTTATTATAAAAATTCGTAGGTAAAATCTAGTTATTCTTTAATTTCCTTTTTCCTCAATCCAAATTTTATTTTATTTAAAAAGATTCAATATGATTTCTTAACTAAATTTGTTATCTTTTAACTTACTTTGTTTGCTTTCTCTTCTTTCTCCATCTTCATTATGATTCCTTAACCCTTTTGCCATTTTCCTCGTAGCTTGCACAAGACTTAACCTCCAATGAAGATATAACGAGCTGGCCACAGCATGCGGTATGGTCATGCATTTGCTTCTTCAGGTAGAGTTCTACCCGTTCATGTCACATCCACCGCTATTTAGATAGTTTTCAATGACACTGGTCATCCCCCTCATGGAGGCAAGCAATCTCTTCAAGGACACTGACCATCCCACCAACAAAATCGGGAAGAATCTCATCTTCCAAGTCCTGTTTCTGTTCCTTCGCATCTTCATTGGTTTTCTACTTATTTGTTGTCTTATTTTGAATTGCACGTGAAGAATGTGATGAGAAAAACAGGACTGTGTTCCAATTTAAAGAAAATCGAATTTAATTATGGATCGACTTGTGATTGGTGACCATCGGATCGGAGTGATTACAAAATGGAGACCAAAAAAAACTAAAAGATGAAAGGTGAAGGCAGAAGAAACAAAAAATATCCAGAAAAAATACACTAGAAAAACATTGAATCTGCATAAATATAATAAAAACTGAATTAAAGACAATTAAAAAGTCTCATTGAATAGACTACAAATATTGAAGAAAGAAAAACCTATTAAAGCAAAAATCTAGTAAGATGGCCTGCATATACTCCATAAACTTGGTGAGCATACGCTAGAAATATCAAATCATTTATAATAATAATAATCAATGTGAAATGCCCAAGAAAAACAAGAGGACTAACAGTATAATAACCATCTCTACCCAGAAAAAATGAGAAAAAAATCTAGTACAGCATAACCTACAAATTGTACCCCATAGTAAATGTAACTGGACTTAAAGTTTACAGTTTACAAATAGCTCCTCAAGCAAAATAAAAGAAACCATATCAATACCCATAATTGGTGCCATATACGGGTCCATAATCTGCAGAAGGCACGTGGCCTGTATGAGCACCAGTGCTAGACGGGGGAGATGCGTAAACCGGAGCATTAGTTGGATAGGCACTGTAACCTTGGCTAACTGATCCACCCAGAGGATCCTGTGACGCATTTGCAGCTTCAGCCATGAAATTCTGCATCAGAAGATAGAATGTGACCATTGCAGATAAACTAAACCAACAAAAATAAACACCATTCCAGTAACTGTTACTTTTAATAGTAATATTCTGTAACTTCCTAGAATATGTTCTAATTAGTTGTATGTTCAATGTATAATATTATTAAAATGCGGGGAAAATGTATTAAAGCCATAAAAATGAACGATAATCACAGATATTATATATTATACAAGGGATTGGTCAAACTAATGATTTCACCATTTGAATTAAATAATAAGTTTTACAGCAAGAATTGTCCGATAAAGACAGGAGTCGTGACTTTTATGAACGTGGATTCAGTATACAAATGCCCCCAGTAATCATCTCTTTCTTGCCCAAAAATTGTCAATCTATTGTTTTAGATTCAAAAAGCATCACAACTAAAAAGGAGTTTCACCTGTGGACTTCGGATTGAAGCGGATAGTACGGCCAATAAATTGCCAATCGTGGACAAAATGGCAACAGCGAAGTGGGGCTACCAGTTCAAGGGTGTAATGTTTGACAATATTAAAATCATTTAATAACTCAAATTCGAATCAACAACAGCCCATGCCATCTGGTGCACCAGCGCCCACATTTCGAGGAGTGCCACATAGAGTTTGAACATTTCGCCAATATAGGTAACAAGCAGAATACAAGATGTGAAGCATACCTGAACCAGCTGTTGGGCTGCCTGTATTTGAGAAGAAGTCCCACTCATCTCGACAGTCATCTCCCCTGGAACACCCCTTGTTTCCTGAATTGTAATACTTGCTCCACTAGCACGACGAATATAGCTGATATTAGTGCCGGATGCTCCAATAACAGCATCTGCATATGAAAGAGGAATTTGCATGTGCTGCGTGACCTGCACAGTATACAGAAAATTACATCATTTGTGATAAAAACAAAAGAGCTTCAAAAGGGAGTGATATTCTCAACAAGAATCCTCAAGTTTGGCAAAAGACAACACCTTAGTTACAAGAGATTGTTGTGGTTGCGCACTTGATGAATGAATTCCAACAGAAGCATCCCTTGCATAGACAGGTGGTGGACCTTGATGAAGGTGCTTATCCATGGGAGGCAACTCAGTGGGTGGGTAATAACTATCATAGTGATGTGTCGGTGGCATATACTGTTGATTGGGTGCAAAAGCAGGTCCTCCACCACCACCACCAGCAGGAGCAGGAAACCCTTGCGGAGGAGGACCCCAATTTTGATGTGGTGGTCCATTCTGGTTAGCTCTGACATCTGATATTTGCATCTGAAGTTTGGAAGAAGGGAAAAATTTACCCAGAGAATGGTATCCAAAGAAACTTATACAATAAAGAACAATATACCTTAGCTGAAACACTCGACATTGATGAAATAAAGACAAGAGGCAGGAAAGAAACCTTAAAGCCACTTCTGAATTCATATCTTTAACTTTGAAGAAATAATTTAAAAACAGGGAGACTTGCCTGTGTCTCGAAAACTCCAACTATGCTGCGGTCAACCAAGAACTTGCGTAAATGTACTGCAATAAGTTCAATTGCCTTGTGAACACCAGTAGAATCCCCTTGTATTTCAACAATACTATCATCTCGCAGAGCAAATACTGGCAGGTGTTCTGTTTAAGCATAAAAAATATATTAGTCCTTAATAGAAATTCCCAATATTCAGGCACACAATAATAAGAGATTTAAAAGAACAGTCCAGTACTTTTAATTCAAAACAGGCTAAATCATTTTTCTTGTGTAATTACTCATCAAGAAAAAACTAATAAAAATTGCAGCATTTGACTGGAACGGAATCTTCAAACAAATAAGAACAGCTGATACAAAAACTAGTGCAAGTGTAATGGGTAGATCTAGGGACAGCATATGCAATAACAAATATTGAATGTAAACTTGGTATAATGTGTCTAAAGAGACCCAAATGAAAGACAGACATAGGGCGAAAAGTAATTAAAAAAGCAATATTTATTAATA